TTAATGGATGTGATTGTGATGTATAGGTGGAGCACATCCGGTCGGAGCACTGTTACCGTCAATATCAGTGCAATCTATGTCTGTACCGGTCTATCAGTGTGGAGCACATTGTGATCCATCAACAGTCGGTCCATTCGCGCAACTTTGAGGTGACTGTCGCTCAGACGGAGACCGATGAGGAGTCGCACAAAGACACCACTCCTCACAACCAGCAGATCATCAAAGAGTGTAAAGTGATTGAATGCACGCAATTGGCCGACACAGCCGTTCCCGACGCCGACCACTACTTCGAGAACTACAAACACAAGCGACTCAATGGCGAACTCAATGCCTATCAGTGTCTGTACTGTCCGTATTTGGACACAAGCAAAGAGGAACTGTATGCACACTGCGTGGCCGCTCACCCGGACTTTCCCATACTTATCTACACCGGTATTAACGCCAGACATTCGGTGAATGGCGACAAAGACGACAATGAGATGAGCGAAGCCATCATGAAGTCCAAGACCGCTAAGAAGCGATCGTTTGACGGTTTGTGGCATTATTTTCGTGAAATTTGGTCTAAATTTTAATTTTGTTTTGCAAAACACTTTAGAGTCGTTCAGCGACTCGGATGTCACCACCAATGGTGTGGTCGACACCTATGAGTTCGACATCTGGACAGAGAGTGAAGACGAGGATATGTTGCTGTCAGAGGACGACCTCTCGTCGGACGGTGTGGTGAGTGAAGAGGCTGTGGCCGCAGAGCCGGCGCCCAAACGTCAGCGAACAGAACCGGACTCGTCGTCCAGACACAGAATCCAAGACATCCTAAGATCTGGAACACCAGCCTTTGTGGCCAATCGCNGGCCGCTTTGTCTGCACTACTGGCCCTTTATTTCTCTGCTGTAGTACTGAGACGTTAAATGAATTTTAGTGTTATTTTTTGGTTGTTTTATGTGTTGTTTTAATTTAAATACAAGGTTTAGGTATTGATTTTTACGGTATTTATCTCTACTTTAATTATGTTTTCGACATTTTTTTAGATATTTATGACTTAATTTTATTGTAACCATAACCGGGTTTTCTTGAGCACAATATATTTGACATAATATTCCACATTATATTCGACACAAACTTTTAAACAAATCTTTCAATAATTTAAATACTCTTCACTAGTCTTTTGAGATCAAAAGTATAATCACATAATCATTGAATGAAAAATTTGAAAAAATACCAAAAAATTTCATACAAATGTTTCAAATATTAATAATTTTTATTTTATTGTTTACATTTCATTACGAATTATATATTTTAAACTCTTTTGTTTTTTGAATGAAAGTACCGTATATTCTGATAGTCATTATAAGTAATATCGTAATGAATGAAAGAATTATGAATTATTGATTGGTTTTTACAATAATATAATTAACATTCTTGTGAATGAAGTGAATTTTACTCATAAAATATATCCATAGTTTTCGTATGTTTTTTATTCGTATATTTAATAAATAGTTTTAAATAATTTTATCATAATTTATATCGTGTGTGGCATTTGGTTAAATTAAATACAGTATATATATACCCATTTGTAGAATATTGCATAAATATTGCAGTATAATTCCAAACCGTTTATTTACTAATGTAATAATTTTTAACGTGTGTATTGAAATTGACCACAATTTAAGTACAAAAACATTTTTTGTATTATTCTGTGACTTGAATCTCTTGTTTAGAATAACAGTATTTGTCTCCCAAACTGATTTGTATTTCATTACATTTTTATATTAATAAATTTTTTTGAACATTCAGTACTAGTAATTTTGTAAACAATATTTGCAATCAATAAGTGGCTTAAAGCAAACATTGGTATTATTGGCGATAAATATATCTCATTACAGATTATTACAGCAATTAGATAAACCTTTGTTAAGAATGCCGCCAATAATTACCGCATGTTATCAATATAATTTAACCAATAATTATCAAAAGCCTACCCTAACTCCTATGTCGCCCCTTAAACTTATTAAACAATTTTATTTTTTAAAATAATTTTTTAGATAATAAATGAAAAATCAAAATTGTATTTCAAGGTGTGATAGGAAATCAGTGTAATATGAAAAGTAACCATAAAATAAGAGGTC